GGGTAGTTCTGCAGGGGGTGTGTGGGGAGCTCTGCAGGGTGTGTGTGTGGAGCTCTGCAGGGTGTGTGTGTGTGGGGAGAGTTCTGCAGGGTGTGTGTGTGTGTGGAGTTCTGCAGGGTGTGTGTGTGGAGCTCTACAGGGTGTGTGTGTGGAGCACTGCAGGGTGTGTGTGTGGGGAGCTCTGCAGGGTGTGTGTGTGTGGGGAGAGTTCTGCAGTGTGTGTGTGTGTGGGGAGTTCTGCAGGGTGTGTATGTGTGGAAAGAGTTCTGCAGGGTGTGTATGTGTGTGGAGTTCTGCAGGGTGTGTGTGTGGAGCTCTGTAGGGTGTGTGTGTGGAGCTCTGCAGGGTGTGTGTGTGGGGAGCTCTGCAGGGTGTGTGTGTGTGGGGAGAGTTCTGCAGGGGGTGTGTGGGGAGCTCTGCAGGGCGTGTATGTGTGTAGCTCTGTGGGGTGCGTGGGGGGGTTTCTGCAGGGTGTGTGTGTGGAGCTCTGCAGGGTGTGTGTGTGGGGATTTCTGCAGGGTGTGTGTGTGGGGAACTCTGCAGGGTGTGTGTGTGGGGAGCTCTGCAGGGTGTGTGTGTGTGGGTAGTTCTGCGGGGTGTTTGTGTGGAGCTCTGCATGGTGTGTGTGGGGAGTTCTGCAGGGTGTGTGTGTGGGGAGCTCTGCAGGGTGGGTGTGTGGGGGGAGCTCTGCAGGTTGTGTGTGGGGAGCTCTGCGGGGTGTGTGTGTGGGGGGAGCTCTGCAGGTTGTGTGTGGGGAGCTCTGCGGGGTGTGTGTGTGGGGAGCACTGCAGGGTGTGTGGGGGGAGTTCTTCAGGGTGTGTGTGAAGTTCTTCAGGGTGTTTATGTGGGGGAGCTCTGCAGGGTGTGTGTGCAGGGAGTTCTACAGGGTGTGTGTGGGGAGCTCTGCATGGTGTGTGTGTGTGTGTGGAGCTCTGCAGGGTGTGTGTGTGTAGCTCTGCAGGGTGTGTGTGTGGGGAGCTCTGCAGGGTGTGTGTGGGGAGCTCTGCAGGGTGTGTTTGGGGAGCTCTGCAGGGTGTGTGCGGGGGAGCTCTGTGGGGTGTGTGTGAAGTTCTTCAGGGTGTGTATGTGGGGGAGCTCTGCGGGGTGTGTATGTGCAGGGAGCTCTGCTGGGTGTGTGTGTGTGGGGAGCTCTGCAGGGTGTGTGTGTGGGAAGCTCTGCAGGGTGTGTGTGGGGGTAGTTCTGCAGGGTGTGTGTGTGTGTGGA